TAAGTACTTGGACATGATTTGGCTACAGAAACTCAAACACATATATGTTTCCCCACGTGCACAGTCTTTACATGTGCTTTTGCATGCCCTTTGTACATGTAACCACGTGTAACCCCATAGATTCAGATGACACATATACATACCCTTAAAAATGCTCTCTCCATCCATGCCCCTCATGACTGTTTATCCTGGTCTCTAATTTTGCTTTCTCGTTTTCTGTTTCTGTTTCTCAGTCATCTTAAGAGCAGACAAATGTGAAGGTATTAAGGTATGAGGCTTGTGAAACAGCACAATTTTGAGGCAGGTTCTGGCATATTATATTTCTCTTCAAAACAGACCTCCCAGCTGGGCTTAGTGGCTCAGCCTGTAATCCCAGCACTTTGGGAGGCTGAGGCAAGTGAATCGCCTGAACCCATAGGTTCAAGACCAGCCCGGGGTACTTGATGAGACCTCATCTCTCTACAATTAAAAAAAAAAAACATTGGCCGGGCATGGTAGCACACGCCTGTAGTTCCAGCTACTTGGAAGTCTGAGACGGAAGGATCACTGGAACTCAGCAGGTTGAAACTGGAGTGGCTGTGAGTGTGCCACTACACTCCAGCCTGGGCAACAGAGTGAGACTCCAACTTAAAACAAACCTCCCTCTTCCAGCAAAAAGCTCTGACTTTCTCCTAGGGATAGGTGGAAGAGGGGACCTGAGGTGGGGTGGGTGAATAGGAGTGGCCTTAGGTCAGACTGCTCAGTTGATCAAGACTGTGGACTATTGACCAGGCGCAGTGGCTCATGCCTATAATCCCAACACTTTAGGAGGCTGAGGCAGGAGGACTGCTTGATGCCAGAAGTTTGAGACCAGCCTGGGCAAAGTAACAAGCCCCTATCTCTACAAATAAAAAATAAAATGTATTTATTTTCTTTTATTTTTTTGAGTTGGAGTCTCATTCTGTCGCCCAGGCTGGGGTACAGTCGCACGCTCACGGCCACCCCAGCATCAACCCACTGGGCTCCAGCGATCCTTCCACCTCAGCCTTCCAAGTAGCTGGAACTACAGGCGTGCGCTACCACGCCTGACTAATTTTTTGACTTTTTTTTTTTTTTTTTTGAGTTGGAGTCTCACTCTGTCACCCAGACTGGAGTGCAGTGGCCACTTCCAGCCATCGCAGCCTCGACCTGCTGGGCTCAGGCGATCCTTCCGCCTCAGCCTTCCAAGTAGCCGAAATTACAGACATGCGCTACCATGCCCGGCTGATTTTTTTATTTATTGTAGAGATGAGGTCTCGCTACCCAGGCGGGTCTCGAACCCGCGGGCTCAGGCAATCCACTCACCTCAGCCTTCCAAAGGCGCGGGATTACAGGCTGAGCCACCGAGCCCGGCTTTGACTTTTTTACTGTAGAGACCCGAGGTCTCACCAAGTTGCTGGGGCTGGTCTCGAACCTGCAGGCGCAGGTAATTCACTCACCTCAGCCTCCCAAAGTGTTGGGATTACAGACTGAGCCACCGAACCCAGCCAAAAAATAAAATTTAATTAGCCATGTACATATCACTTCTCAGCACTTTGGCTAAAATCAAGTGTAGTATTTGTTCTTATCAGTTTAATTAGGTGTGGTGGCATGCACCTGTAGTTCTAGCTACTCAGAAGGCTGAGGTGGGAGGATCATTTGAGATCAGGAGTTGGAGGTTGCAGTGAGCTATGACTGCACCACTGTACTCCAGACTGTGCAACAGAGCAAGACTCTGACTCTAAAAAATAAAAAAGATCATGGACTATAGACACCCCCGATCATGAGATAAGCAAGGGGGAGTGTTGCTCTGCTCATCTAGCCCCTCCCTAGTTAGGAGAACCCCGAGATGTCGGCCATAGCTGCTGAATCTGGCATACTCTCTGGCATGACTGCCTCAGTGGTAGCCGGTGATCTTAGGTTCCACACTCTCCTTTGATTATTTCTGACCTGCCCCTTCTCCCCCAGGGCCCAGTTTTTTCACTTTCAAAATATGCTCAGGAGCAAAGGTGTGAAACTCCCTCAAACTTTTACTCTAGAAGTAAAATTAAAGAATCTGCTCTGAAGGGGACACTGGAGAAGCAAAATGTGGAGGAAAGGGCTCAACAAGTCAAGGATGAGCTCAGGGCTCTTAAAAGACAAGTACACTCAGGAGGCCCGAGTCCACCCCATGTGTTAGGGAGCAGCCACCCTTACCATTCAGACAAACCCCTTCTGGCTTCCTCCACATTGGAGCCATCGGGTATCTGAGGCAGCTACATGAATACCAGAGGAATGGTGACTTGAGGGAGTGAGGAGAGAGTAATTCTTTACGTTCCAAATCACAGAACAGTGGGCCTTGGTTCTGTGGCCAGCTGAGGGAGCAAGTCATTTTCAACATATGGAAGGCCAGATGTAGGAGGGAGCATGCCCAGAGGAAGCACCGGGGGCATCCAAAGCAAGGAGAGGGATAGATCTATACATTTCTAATCTATCCCCAAGAAATTTAAAAATCAGTGCACTCTACCTGATAAAAGGAAGATAAAGAGTTAACCTGACTGGAGACAATCAGGAAGTACAAGGTGTTAAAGAGAGATTGGAACTTTATTGAGACTTTCTCCCTGATGAAATCAGAACCAAAAAACACTGGAAAGGTTTAGCAACTGTTCAGGCACAAACAAATGCTTACAGATACTGCTCTTGGGGGAATCTCTGGATCCTAAAATTCCCTCAGTTTCCAGCCCCCACCCCCCAAAGAGTCAGAATCCTGCTTAAAACCCACCTCCACAGAGCTGGGCAGAAACCAGGCACTTACTATCTGTGCCAACTGATTGGCAGGCCTATGAGAAACAGAGAAAAGGCAAGTCAGACAGTGAGAAGAGGAACACTACATGAGAGAGAGAAGAAACACAAAAAGGAGGAGGAGGAAAGAAAAGCCCAAAGTAGGGGACAGCACACTGATAGTGTATCTCCCTGAAAATGTAAATATTGCATGAATTAGCCTTATTCCACCCATTTCCCCCAAAGCAGTGGTGACATCAACAGCCACGACAATGTCCACACAGGCCTGCATTTTCTTTTTATCTTCCTGACTGCATTGAGAAAAACAGATCCACCAAAGCAGCTCATGGGCATGAAAGAGCATTCAGGAGAAAGTGGGGAGGGCACACTCCCAAGGGCACAGGTGATAGAGAGATGAAGTGAGGCATTCTTGGTTTGGGGGTTTTCTTAGTCCAGCACAGATTCCGGCTCATCAGCCCCTCATCACCAGGCTCCATGGATGCCCCTTATAGAACTTGCTTTTCTTTTCTGGCTCACTTGCTTTTTAGAAACATCACCCTGGATGCTTTGGAGCCTCCAATTTTCTGGCAGGAGGTTGCAGGCTCTCCACAAAGCCAAATTCATAAGCCTCTGCGGCAGCATGCACCAAAGAGCTAATGATTCTGAGAAACAGGAATTCCTAAATTGCGGCTCTCCATGTGGACCTAATCTGACAGCCAATTTGCTCATGCTGCCTAATCCTCAAAGTGCATCTTGTATGCCTTCATTTCCACTTTTCTTCCTGTCCTGGATGACTTCCTGGCACTGGTGGATCCTGACTCGTGCCTTGTGTTAAGGCCTCCAGGACAGCTTGTTCCCAAGAGAAGCGGCCAGCTGTGCTGAAAGGAACCCCTTGAGGCAGCCCTGGGTTGGGTCTCCTGGTTGTGCACAGACTATTCACCATGCACATTTCATCACCAAGAGGCTGCTTCTTCCCCAGGCCCTTCCACTGCTGCCCGCCACCCTCTGAGGTGACAATGCATGCTAGCCGTGCAGGACTCTTACAATGAGTTCTTTCTCTATGCCCTTGAGTATATGTTATCTCCTTAATCTCTCTCAGACAACGTACACACATATTCACACTCACTGGTATTTGAAACCTCTGGCTTTCCTGTGATGTGTTCAGTGGATATCTGCATCAGGTTCTGGTGGGAAGTTGAATGTTAAACCTTGGTTACCACCAACAACGGGTGGCTGGTGCTGGTTCTGACTCCCAGGAAATGCCTCCCAGTTTTAAGTGTTGATGCATCAGGGAATGGAGAAGAAAGGAAAGGAAAAGCCATGGTATGGAAACTGGGAAGGAACAACTCCTCTGCCAAATATTTCCATAAAGAAGTTGTGGAAACAGCCTCCTCTTAAATCTGGGAGAGGCTGGCTGCCCAGTGAAGTCCCTAATGAAAAGAAGCAAGGTCTCCATTGTCCTCTCTGAAACCCAGTGCCTTTGGGATCTGAGTTTTCCAAGACATGCAATAGACAAAGACACACTGCAAACCAATTAACCCTCTGAGCCCTTCCAGAACCTGCCCTTAAGTCCCTTCCAAGAAGTAAATTACCACTCACCTTCCTCTTAGGTCTGATAAAGGGACCAAGCTCACCAGCTTGCTTAGAGGATGACATCAGATAAATGGAACGCATCCTAACCTGGGAACTTTTGTTCTCTCTCAGTTGTCTAGTGTCCTAAACCACTGCCCTACCCTTGAGGAAACAGGGTAGGGATCCTGGGGATAGGTTCAAAACCCAGATAGACTCAGACATAAGAGATTGGCCACTGTTGCAAGTCAACCCAAGCTTATTGGGATGTAGCCAAGGGCTGAGGAACAAACAGAAGACAGTGGAGGGAAGCCAAAATGGACCTGAGAAGCCCTCTATGACTCAGGTCTTCACTATTTTTTCCAGCTTACAGAGGACAAGGGAATTTCAGCTGCTTTTTGCTTATTCGACCCTCATTAAGTATACACAAGAATTTAGCTGCTCTCTGTCCCTCCAAGATAGGACCCAGGAAAAGCGGGTGGAGCCTGACTTGCCTCAATCAGGGCTCATTGAAGCAACGAGACAAGCACACTAGAATTCACAGTTTCCACTCCCCTTCCTAGACCCACGGACCTTCCCTGATCACTGGCCTCAATGAACTCCCAAACCTCCAATGTGTGATTATTCTTGCCAGTGTGGCTCAAAGGGTTAATAAACCAGGACTTCTCAGACAGTTAGGACACAAGCTCATTCACCAAGAACCCAAGAACAGCTACACAAAAATCTAGTGCCTCCTGTAGCGATTCTTTGGGGTTTCGCCACACCCTGTTTTGTCACAGTTGAGAGCACCTGGATTCTTTCCCAGCCCAAGGCTACCCAGGAGGCCAGGAAGCTCCTGGGTGATGGCCCGCTCAATCTTCTCCAGAAAGCAACCTCCCATGTAGGAGCACTGCTGAGACAGGAGTTTGAAACTGGAAATGGGGTTTATGCCAAAGAAGTCCTTATAGGCCTCGCGGTTGGGAAGGTCAAATTTGCTGACATTGGTCTTTGCCAGGATGGTCTTGAAGATGTAGAATTTATCAGGATCTTCCACAATGTCCTTAAAGACCAGTTCTCCATCACTGAAGAAGGTCATTTTGTCCTTGTAAGTCTGCAGATAGCGGTCAACCAAGAGGGCATGAATGCGGACCCTGATGGCATGCTGACGGATGAAGGCGATCTTGTTCTCTAATCTGTTCTCAATCACCTGATTCAGGTCTTCCAGGAGGGAAATCTCTTCTTTGAGGAACAGTTCCCGGTGGGTGTCAGGCTTATAGTCTTGTGGCCAGAAGGAGCTGACGTAAACCCTTGGGGGCTCTGTGACATTGATGAGAGGGGCCAAGCTCCAGAAGAGGGCCCCATAAACCCTCATGAGCATCTGCGTGGCCAGGTTGTCAGCCTTGTTCAAGATGATCCTTATCTGGGACTCACGTCCCTTCAGCTGGCGGAAGAGCATCTCCAGCTCCAGACCCACATCCAGCTTGGTTGGGTCGAAAACAACAAAGATGAGGTCAGCTCTGTCAATGAACCACTGGCACACGTCGTTGAAGGGGTAGCCTTTGGGAGACAGAGGACAGAGGGAATTTCAGAAGTTAAACTGCCCAGGCCATATGCAAAGCCCCTCACAACTCCTTTCAGAACCAAAGCATTCTGTGGGCAGGAAGACAGAATCACACTAGGGGTTTTCTGGGTTTCTAAAGACTATTCAAAAATTACTTGCATATCTTCTACCCCTTGCTAACCTTCAACAAAGAAAAGAGCCTGATCCTTGTTTTGGGGGGTTTTATTTGTTTGTTTTTTGAGACAGGGTTTTGCTTTGTCGCCCAGGCTGAAGTGCAGTGGCGTGATCACAGCTCACTGCAGCCTAGACCTCCTGGGCTCAGATGATCCTTTTGCCTCAGCCTCTGAATAGTTGGGACTACAGGTGTGCATTACCATGCCTAACTAATATTTTGAATTTTTTTTTTGTAGAGACGATGTCTCAAACAAAAAAACTCCTGGACTCAAATGGTCCTCCTCCAAAGTGCTGGGATTATAGGCATGAGTCACTGCTCTCCACCACAGTGCTTGTTTTAATCTGCAGTAAAATCCAAGTCTCCAGGGAAGTGAAATACTTGTCCTAAATGGAGATTTTCCGAGTATCTAAAAAGATCTGGGGCAATGGCAAAGATGTTGAAGAGAAGTGCGGGAATTAGATAATGTGAAAGAGTTATTTAGGGGAAAAGAATGTGGACCCAACATTAAGACCTGGTCTCGACTTTGGGCTTTGCCACTGACTGTCTGATTATTAAATGATTCTGAGTTCTAACTTTTTAGGTACAAAATGACAAGAAGAACAATAATACCTAAATTGATTTAAATATTACTATGTTGTTGTAAGTATAGGAAATCATGTAATTAAAACTGCCAGTCATACAATAGGTGCCCAACATGTCTTAATTCCTCTAACTTCTTATTTTCTGTTTCCTTATTTGCAAAGAAAACTAAAAAGACAATGAATACCTGTCTTGAAAACATTAAAATATATAGAGATATGTTTTGGGACAGGGTCTTGCTCTGTTGTCCAGACTGGAGTGCAGTGGCACAATCATAGCTCACTGGAGCCTCGAACTCCTGAGCTCAAGCAGTCCTGTCTCAGTCTCCCAAGTAGCTGGGATTACAGGCATGCATCACCACACCCAGCTAAGTTTTTTATGTTTTTGCGGCAAGGGGGTCTCGCCATGTTGCCCAACCTGGTCTCAAGCTCCCAACCTCAAGTAATCCTTCCATCTCGGCCTCCCAAAGTGTTGGGATTACAGGCGTGAGCCACTGTGCTCAGCCTAAAAATCTCTTTTTAAAAAACAAAAACAATGATCAACCAATAATGCATAAAATTATCCAGTTCATAATAAGGTTACAACAAGGTTAATTTACTATCGTAACTATTAGTAATAATATTACTACTAATAAAACAGGATGTAGTTATAAATGGAAGTTATAACCATAAATTGAGATCCACCATCTGGTTTCATATTCCCACATCTGCCCAGGACTCCTCTCTGCAGACAGCCTGGCATCATGACAGGACTCCGTGGCCTGTGTCATAGTCTTGAGCCTGCCAGGACTGAAGTCGCATTACCCTGCCACCTGAAGGCAAGTAGGACTTTGAAGAAGTCTGCTAAAGGCTTATGTGGAAGCAAACCTGGTAAAGGAGAAACTGGGAATAGGAAGCATTAAGGCCAGGTTCAAGAACAAGCCTGGAGGCCCCAGGCCCAGTTTAGCCAGAAGTCAAATATACTTGGACTGGGATCCAAAGCCCTTGTCTACCCAGGACAGACTGGGCCTCCCAAAGACAACTCAGCCCCGGCTTGCATCTCACAGAGCTACTTGCAGAGAAAACTAGTCCTCCCCTTTGGAAAACGCTGGCTACCTGCAGCCAAATCAGTCCTGGGGGAGGTGGGAGGACAAGATACTCCAAAACCTAGGTAGTATCACGGTGATAAGAATAAGGTAGTGGAAGTAAGGAATGTCTTTCCTGGTCTTGGACAACACTGGCCTACCACCCACTGTCGAAAATAGTTTTCTGAGACAGAGCTCATGCTGTTCAGAAACAACAGCTAAATTACCTCTTTCTTGCTGCTTACGGTTCTCAATGATGCCTGGTGTATCCACAAAGGTGACCCGCTCCAGAAGCTTGTGAGGAACCTCAATGCCAATCAGCTTCTCCAGGAAATTCTGGCCAAACTTCTCAAGGGGTGAGAAGGAGCGGGCGCTGTCCGCAGCCATGACGATGCCCTCAATGGTTTTCAGCTTGGGCCCGTGCATGAGGACTGTGAACTCAGAGGTGGTGGGCTCAGCACCTGCATGCACAGGGAGAGAGTGCTAGGACTGCAGTGATCTCTGGAAAACAGGCCTACTGCAAAATATGAGAATAAACTGGGTGTCTCGGCGGGGGGTAGGTCTTGCCACAAGAACAGGATATGATTGCTACATGGTTTCTTTTTTTTTTTAATTGTGGTAAAATAAACATAACATAAAATTTACCTTTTTAACTGTACAGTTCAGTCACATTGTTGTGCAACCATCACCACCATCCATCTCCAGAATTTTTTCATCTTCCCAAACCAAAACTCTACTCATTAAATGCTAGCCCCCCATTCCCTCTTCCCTCAGCCCCTAGTTACAACCATTCTACTTTCTCTGTGATTTTTTTTTTTTACTCTAGGGACCTCATATAAGTGGAATCAGATGGTATTTGTCCTTTTGTATCTGTCTTATTCCCCTTAGCATAATGTCCTCAAGGTTCTCCATGTTGTAGCATGTACCAGAATTTCCTTCATTTTTAAGGCAAATAATTTTTCATTATATGAACAATCCACATTTTTTGTTGTCTATGCATCCATTGATGGGCAATTTGTGTTGTTTGTTTTTACTTTTTGGCTACCATGAATAATGCTACAATGAACACTGGTGTAGCCACCAATTTCCTGTACGTACTTTTCATTATTATGTTGAAGACATATATAAATGATTAATTTCTCATAGTGCTTTTTACATATGACATTCAAATATGAACAATCACACAAGAAAATCTATTACCTGTATAGAGCTGGTAGCGAGTATTTTCCAACCCCAGGAGGTAGTTTATCATGGTAGATTTACCAACACTCCACGGTCCCAGGAACAGCACCATGGGCTTGGAGGTAATCTCTCCATCTGAAGGCAATAGGAATTAGTAATGGAAACGAACTAAAAAAAGTTCTCGTTAGGGGTATGGTGCCATGCTCCAAAGCACTCTTTGTCCCTGAGCACCTATCTTATTGAGTTGTGGAATTCTACATGTATCAGACAGTGTGCAGCAATCAGTGGCACTTCTCTTGCTACATAAGTGCAATCACCCAATTAAGAGACAGAATCAGACTGGGCTCGGTAGCTCAGCCTGTAATCCCAGTGCTTTCGGAGGCCGAGGTGAGTGGATTGCCTGAGCCCACAGGTTCGAGACCCGCCTGGGCAAGTTGGCGAGACCTCATCTCTACAATAAATCAAAAA